GAGAAGGGAGGCAGAGGCAGGAGAGAAGGGAGAGAAAAGGGGGAAAGAGAGAGAAAGTCTAATAATATATACTATAAATTTAGTAGATGCTAATTAAAGATCAATTGACGTGATTCGTATAATATTAATAAAAAATAAAATCAAAAGATTCTACCTAAACTAAGGAATTTCACAGGATTTAATGTGTCTTTAGTTATTTAAATTCTCATAAAAGTGTAGTAGGTTAATAGTTAGTATAGATTTAATATAATTGGAGAAAGTATATCAAATAAGAAACTTCAGACCAGAAACATCATTGTTTAAATATTTGCGGCTCTATTTGGTGGGTTTTAAATTCTTAAGAGAGCCATTGGTTATTTATTTGAGATTTTATAAATATTTTTAAGAGATTTATTGATATTTTAAAAAATTCATTTGGTATTTATTCAAGATTTATTAATAATTTTAATCAATTTTATAATATAGTAAGATAGTAAGATTTAGAAATAGTAATTGTCTTGAGGCAAACTTATCCTCAGTACCCAAAACTAAAAATTTATAAACTCCATCTAATATGTTTGCGACTTTTAAATTTGTTTAGTTTTCAAATTTTAAATAATCAAAATTAAAAATTGAATCAAATCAAAATTTAAAATTAACAACTTATTAAATATAAAATTTTAGAATTAATGTCCAAAATTTCAAATTTAGTTAATTTATAAAATTTCTTAATTTTATTATGAGACTTCTAAACTTTTAAAAAAATTAAACAAAGAAACTTAGAATCACAACTAATACTAAATGGAGTAGTTAGTATCCCTAGTTATAATGTTAAATTTACTGAAAATCTTCATATTAAGGAGAATTTGCTGACGCCGCCCTATGTCGTTGCACACGCTTGACAACATACTAAATAAAAGCAGAGCCTTCTAACATGTTCAGCCAAAAACCATTTCACTTAGGCCATATGCCCAGCATGATCACTTCCATTTTCACTCATTTTCTTCTTCTATTTCTCGTTCTCTTATTTTCTAATGAATATATATATCCCTCCAAGCAAGCGAATTTGTTTCCTATTCAACCAATTTCACAACTTGCTGGTAGATAGAGAGAAACGCACTTCTCAAGTTCAAAGAAGGTCTCAAAGATCCTTCAGGCCGGCTTTCTTCTTGGGTTGGCAATTATTGTTGTACATGATCAGGTGTTGGCTGCAACATGCAAACGGGACATGTCACGAAGCTTGACCTCTGGATGCCCCCCATCAATTTAAATTTCAACGATCCAACAGCTTTTGATTTTGTATCCTTACAAGGTACGATTAGTCCTTCATTGCTTGATTTGAAATATTTGAACTACTTGGATCTAAGCTGCAGCAATTTTGAACAAACTCCAATCCCCAACTTTATTGGTTCATTCACCAAGTTAGAATACCTTAATCTCTCTTATGCATCTTTTAGTGGCTTGGTTCCTCCCCATCTTGGAAATTTGTCAAACTTGCGTTACCTTGATCTGCCCTCACAAAATTTAGATCAACATATTTTGGTATCTGATTTGAATTCGATCCTTGGACTCTCTTCGTTGGAACTTCTCAACTTAAGGATGGTAAGCCTTAGTTTTGCGTTAACTAATTGGTTGCAAGCTATAAACACGCTTCTTTCCTTGATGTTGTTCCGTTTGTCTTATTGTAGACTCCATGACATCCCTACCACTCTTCCAATTGTGAACTTCAGTTCTATTCAGGTCATTGATCTTTCATCAAATGATTTCAATTCACCATTACCTGGTTGGTTGTTCAATATCAGTTCCCTTGTTGAGCTTGAGTTGTCTTTTAATGGCTTTAGTGGACAAATACCTCCATATGTAGAAAATGTTAATAACATGAGGGATCTTAATCTTGATTTCAATGATCTGTCAGGTCCACTTCCAATTTCTATTTGGAAACCTATCATCCTTGGAGATTTTATATCTTTCTTCCAACCAATTGAATGGAATAATTCCTAAAACCATTGGCAATTGAAAAAGTTGATTAGTTTAGATCTTAGTTTTAATAACTGGGGAGGGGTTATGTCAAGAATTCATTTTCTCCCCCTAAACAATACGAAGGAATTTTTGTTATCTCCCGTCAAAGAAAAATCACTGGTATTTGATGTGGGATATGACTGGATTCCTCCTTTCAATATAAATTTAATCTTCATTAAAAATCGTCAGATAAATCCCAAATTTCCTATATGGCTCCAAAATCATAAGGAACTGATGATTGTTGACCTTACAGAAGTTGGAATTTCAAGTTATGTACCTGATTGGTTTTGGAAACTAAGTTCACAAATTCAAATTTTATCTCTTCGTAGTAACACATTGTGTGGAAAGCTTCCAAGATCATTAAAATTTCAATCAAATTCTATTGTACACCTCAGTTTCAATTCATTTGAGGGACCAGTTCCACTATTTTCTCATGTCTTCGTACTCAGTTTGAAAAATAACTTACTCTCAAGACCAATTCCAGCAAATTTTGGCGATGCCATGCTAAATTTAGAATTTTTGGATCTTTCTGAGAACTACATCAATGGTAGCATTCCTTCTTCAATAAATAAGTTGGAAGACTTGAGACTTCTATTGCTAGAAAATAATGAATTTCCTGGAAAGATTCCTTCAATGAATAGATCAAACAATTTGTGCGTATTAGACTTCTCAAATAACAATTTATTTGGCAACATTCCAAGCTCCTTGTGCTCACAGTCACTTTTTTATTTGAAATTGAATGGCAACAATCTTTATGGAAAGCTTTCATCCTTGTGAAACTGCACAAACCTGGTGAAACTTGGTCTTGCAAATAATCAGTTCCATGGAGGCATTCCAAGATGGATTAGAGAAACTCTATCTCTTCTATCAGTACTACAATTACAAGGAAACATGTTTAGGGTGAAGATACCAAAAGTTTATGTAGTCTTCCTTTTCTCCATGTTATGGATTTGAGGCAGAACAATTTTTCGAGATCAATTCCACCATGTCTAGGCAATTTAAGTAGCCTGTATTACTCAAAAAAAGGATACTCATGTGTCTGATGCTATTACTTTTGCTGGTGCTACTACTATTGTTGCTACTAAAGTTGATGATGATGCTGTTATTGCTATTGCTGATGTGTTTATGCCATTCTTTTTTGGAATGCAGGGCATGGAATTTAATGTTAAAGGACAAACACTTGAATTTGTCAAGATAACTAATATTGTGAATTTGATAGATTTATCTGGTAATAACCTTGAAGGGGAAATTCCGAAAGAGATACTGAAGCTTTCTACCTTGGGTACATTGAACTTAGCTTGGAATCAATTAGTAGGAAACATCCCTAAGAAGATTGGAGACTTGCAGCTGTTAGAAACTCTTGACCTCTCAATCAACTATCTTTCAGGCCCGATTCCAGCAAGCATGCCGTCTATGACTTTGTTAAGCCATTTGAATTTGTCTCATAATGATTTGTCTGGACCAATCCCATCAGCAAACCGATTTCAAATCTTCAATGATCCATCTATTTATGAAGGAAACCCAAAACTTTGTGGAGCTCCATTGCCGACCAACTGTTCAACACACAAAAATGAAACGCCGGAAGGATATACTGGCAAGGACAGAAATGAAAGCTGGTCAGAGACGTTGTGATTCTACATTGGAACAGAATATGGATTTCTACTAGGATTCTGGGTTGTTTGTGGAACTTTGGTGATCAAGAGGTCTTGGAGACATGCCTACTTCCACTTTGTGGAAGAAATGAAAGATAAGATCCATGTCTTCGTTGTAGTGAAGTCAGCTCGTTTGCAAAAGAAGCTGAAGGGCAGCGAAAGAAGCTGAGAAAGTGGTGATAATAATGCAGAAAAGAGCTTCTTCATGTTAAGATATTACCATGATCCAAAGGTAAGATATATCTACAGACATGCATCAATACTCAAAATCATGTTAATATTGGTCTTGTTTTTAGTTCTTTTTAACATTTTGTTAATCATGCAATATTGGAAGATTATACTTACACACATGCATCAATACTCAAAATCTTGAAAACACAACCAAAGCAAAAACACAAAAACATCCTCCTCCAAACTTGAAATTAACATTGTCTGCAATGTTAAAAAAATGTTAGAGAAGAAAAACAATACTCCCCTATCTTGCTTTTTCCATAGTTGACATGCAATGAGTTCCTTTATAGCCAAATAATCTTGTAGTATTTGTCCAGACAACTGAAAGTGCAATGAACAATCTAACCAAGCAAAAGAACTCAAGGCAACTTAGTAACAAAATAAAGAAAATAAATAAAATTCAAAAATTAAAAAATTAAATAAAGAAACAACCAAATGAAAATTAGAATGAAATTAAAACATGAAGAACTTAAACTATAAATAAAAGATTTTTTTTTCTTTTAGCAATTGGTTGCCTCTCATTAAGCAATTCTTTATAGTCATTAGCTTGACTATCACTACAAAACTGTCAAGATCTTTCAATAAAATGGTGGAGTTAAATGCAAGAAAACTACCACCTTCAACATAAAGTTTCAACCTCTACCCGTTCACCTTAAAAGTTCCTTGGTATCATGTGAAATCTTAACAATTCTATAAGGAAATACTTTGGTCACCGCAAAAGGACCATTCTATCTTAATTTCAACTTACCCAAAAAAAGTCACAATTGAGAATTGAAAAGAAGAACCTTGTCACCCACATGAAACTATTTCTTTTTCACATATAAATCATGCCATGCCTTGGTTTGTTCCTTGTAAATCTTGCCATTTTCATACATGCCAATTCTAAGTTCTTCCAATTCATTCAACTAAAGTTTTTTTGTTTTCATGTGCATCTTTTAAATCAAAATTATGATATTTAATAGGCCAATATGCCTTATGCTCAAGTTCCAAGGGAAGGTGACAAGCGTTACCAAAAACTAACCTATAAGAAAACCTACAAATAGGAGTTTTGTAAGCTATCCTATAAGCCTAGAGTGCATTATCTGATTTAAGTGACCAACTTTCCTAGACAAACAAACTATTTTTTCCAAAATTCTTTTTAATTACCTATTAGACACCTCAATTTGCCCACTTGTTTGGGAGTGATATGAAGTAGCAATTTTATGGATAATACCATATTTAGTCAATAAATTTGCAAATTGCTTGTTACAAAAGTATTTGCCTCCATCACTAATTACATCCCTAGGTGTGTCAAATCTAGTGAAAATATTACTCTTCAAAAATTTAACAACCACCCTAGCATCATTATTAGGACATGCAATAGTTTCTACCCATTTACTCACTAATTTACCGCAACAAGGATATATTCCTTACCAAAAGGTAAAGGAAAAGAACCCATGAATTCTATGCCTAAAACATCAAACATTTCAAACACTAAAATATTAGTCAAAGGCATTTCATGTTTTCTAGAAATATTACCAGTCCTTTAGCATTGGTCAAATGCACTCACATAAGCATAAGCATTCTTAAATAAAGAAGGCCAATTAAATCCACATTGCAAAACCTTAGATGTTGTTTTGGACGCACCAAAATGACCACTAGCTTCTTTGTCATGACAAAAGCTCAGGATTGCGTTTACTCCTTTCTTATGGTACACATCTTGGGATCATTCCATTGCCCCATATCTTGTAAAGAAATGGTTCCTCACACAAAAAAAGTCTAATATTAGAAAAGAGCTTTTTCTTCTATTGAAAAGATATTACTAACAAGATAATTAACAAAATATACATACCAAGGTAAAGAAGAAAGAGCACACAAAGAAACTTAACACAATTGCTCATCTGGAAACTCATCAAACAAAGGTTGATCATCCACACATTCCATATGTTCCTTATCTAATCTAGACAAATGATCAGCAACAAAATTTTCTATACCTTTTTTATCTCTAATTTCTAAGTCAAACTCTTACAGTAACAAAATCTATCTCAACAACCTAGGTTTGGCATTGTTTTTAGTAAGTAGATATTTAAGTGCAAAATGATCAATATAAACAATTACCTTGAACAAAATTAGTTAAGGTCTAAACTTTTCAAAAGTAAACACCATAGCAAGCAACTCTTTCTTAATAATAGTGTTATTCTTTTAATTTTAAGCATCATTCATTGTTTTACTTGCACAATAAATGATGTCAATTTTCTTATCTTTTATTTGTCCTAGAACTGCACCTAAAGCATCATTACTTGCATCACATATAGTCTCAAAGGGTAAATCCCAACAAGGTGTGATAACAATAGGAGTATTAACTAGTTTTTTTTTTGACAATTTAAATGCATTCATGCAATCATCATCAAATAAAAATGGTGTTCCCTTAACCAAGAGGTTAGTAAGAGGCCTAACAACTTTTGAAAAGTCCTTAATACTCCTCCTATAAAAACCTACATGTCCAAAAAAACCTCTAAAGAGCTAGCTTTTCAATTAATTTAACCTTAGCTTGATCCACTTCAATACCCTTAGAAGATACCTTATGGCCTAGCACTATACCTTCCCTAACCATAAAATGGCATTTCTCCTAATTCAATACTAGGTTAGTTTCCTTACATCTTCTAAGCACCCTGGACATTATGTAAACATGCATCAAATGAAGAGCCAAAAACTGAAAAATCATCCATAAAAGTTTCCATGAACTCATCAACAAATGAAGAGCCAAACAGAAAAATCATCCATAAAGATTTCCATGAACTCATCAATAAACTTAGCAAATAAAGACATCATACCTCTTTGGAACGTACTTGGAGCATTGTACAACTCGAT